GTTTAAGGTTAAAAAAACACATTATTTTCCACATACTGTACATTATTGTTTCTCCTCTATGCCCCGCCTTTCTGAATTTTTACAAAGCTCATCAGTCTGAAAAGTGAGGTGTGCTGTGATTGGCCAGCTATCCAGTGCGTTGTGATTGTCCGAATACCTCGAGCGGGTGACGCAAATGTTACGCCCCTCACCATACTGTGATGCCGTGTCCGGCCGGAGCGATGAGACAAAAACATTAAAACCCATTATAAACGAGGCATTTGTTGCATCCAGTGGGGACATAATTACGGATTATAATGACTTATACTGTCTTTTTAAGCATTGCGTTGCATCGCGCCGCGTAAACATAAAACCATGTCTGCATTTGTGATCAGAGAAATGACAAACAACAAGCGCTACTCTACACTGCTCAAAACTCGCGTTTGAATCGTCAGTGGCAAATTTTTTAAATATAAAAAACGTACTTACATTCTTTGCCGCTTCGTCCATGGTGAAAGCCGATCCGGCGATCCACAGCGCAAAGTTGATGTATATCCTCAGCGACCAGCACTGATCAGCTCCAGGCAATTTACTTACTGTTTTGAGTGACACTTACTTAAAATATTCAAGTAGCCACAAAGGAACCAATGACATTAATAAACCAGTAAGAGGCAGCAGTGCACTAATATGTTGCTAATGTGCAACATAACAACAGAAGAAAATAAATCTTAATAGACTTTTCACCCATTTCCTCCATGTCTGCAGTTATCTTTCACTAATTGCATTCACTCGTTTCCCAAAGTCATCTTGAATGTTGAATTTTCAATACAACTGAAATATTTGAGAGAACATCACATAAGCTAACTTCATAAATTGATGTTGATTTTCCTAAAATGTGTGTGTTTTTTTAACTCAACATTATAGTGATTAGCGTTCCCTTTGGTAGGACACTTGGAACTTGGTTTATGTTACTTTAACTATCTTCCTGTAAATGCTGCAATGCATCATGAAGTCAGAGTTATTTGATTTCAAGGGAAGTAAAGTAATAAATAGGTTGCTTTTAGAAAGTAACCTATTTTCTAATTACTTCACGTTTATTAATGAACTTTTTAAATTTTCATATTTCATAATTACCTTGAAATGCTTTTAAATGGATTTATATAATCCTTAAATAGCGTGCAGTAATAAACTGAAGTCACACACAGACTTAAACATTCAGCACGTGAACCACAACAATGGTCTCTCCACTGGATTCACCGCCGACACCCTAGCATGAAGACATTTTAAATTTATTGAGGAAGATGATGACGAGGATGATCAACGGCACAAAACATACCTTACAGCGCGCGCGAGAGAGAGAGATTGCCTGAATGACTAAGCGCGTCCTCCATCAGGTTAAGTCATATTCATAAAAAAATTGTTTGCGATGTCCTAAGAGTAATGTTGTGGTAATATCCTAATATCCTTTCAATTTTAAGGGTAGTGTACTCCCCCATGGCTTGCGTCAGCACTGGTCAATGCATTGATTTCTATAAAGTGAAGCATCAGCTTCAGCTTTCCCCCCTGTTGTTTATCCCAGCGTTTACCCCTCAGTCACTAGCTCCTTGCGCCATAGCTCGTGACCGGAAGAGAAGATGAGTCGTTTTGAGGGGGAGGGGAAGTTAACATTGTTGATTAAAGATTACGAGGGCACATGAATTTAAAAAAAAAAATATGAAGTGCACGGATAAATTATTTATAATAAACATTACAGTATTCTATTAAAAAATTATTGTGGAAAACTGGGTCAATAGCATTGTTAGATCAAGGCCAAACACAGAGAAGGGTGCAGTACCTACAGTTCTTTACATCACATTGTGTCCTGTTATTCCCTCACACTAGCCTTACCCGCCCCCACACCTCCACTAATGCTAAAAGTAGTCTAATATTCTGATCTGAGCCTTCAGACGCTGCCGCAACCCTGTTTGCTCCCAAGCTAACCTGCACTGTGTGCTTGAGTCATTTCCACAAGGTTACAGGAAAACGCCGTTCTGGCATAAAGTGGCTTCTGTTGAAGTGAGCAGTCAGCTAAGAATGAGAGCGCTAGTGGTTTGTCAGCTAGAGTGCATATTTGTGTGTTCTGCCTCGCTGACTCAAGTCGAGGCTTGTGATGATTAAAGGACGCTGAAGGTGAATCAGTGTCACCTCCTGACACACACTGAACACTGCCTATACCTCTATTTTACATAAATACTCACACCAACGGATGTGAAGATGTCAGTCTCAGTCTAAAGCACCTCTTAGATTGCTCTCTTTTGACCGAAGGCATCAGACGTACAGCTACAGTATGTTATCCCGGCAGTGCAGATGGGACAGTCATTCTGGGGCACACACAAAATCACTGCTGTCCTGCTCCATGATTAGGGCTGCCAACTGAGAAAATGCCTTTGTAGAATATGCAGAAATGCCTATACAGTTTCACTGGTCTACGTTCTCAAGAATTTGTTTCATATTTTGGTCACAACTTATTTTAAGGTCCAATTCTCGCGATTAACAAACCATTAAATGGGTCATATGATGCGATTTCAATTTTTCCTTTCTCCAGCCCGGGGTCGTCACATGTGGTTGCCGCATGCCCGCCGGACGCTCCTTCGTCGAATCCGCCGGCCGTGCCGTTCTCAAGCCCGCCGCCTCTGCTCACTCTAGCCCTCCGGCCTCCGCTCACTCTAGCCCCCGGCCTCTGCTCACTCAAGGCCGCCGTGTGTGACGCTGTTTCGTTGTAAAAGCTAAACTACTTTGTTTGGTCTTCCAAAAGAGGACACAACTAGAAATCAGTGGTTAAGTTGTATTTACAACACTGTTCCAGAACACTTCAACCCAAATATTCAGATGTGTGCAGCACATTTTATGGAGGACTATATATACTGTATATTAATATAAAGTTTTACTGGCATACACAAAACTTGAAAAAGATATCTACTCATGTGTTTTTACATGTTTAATGAATGAAGGACATCAGTTGTAGTACTTCAGTTTTTCCCAAAAGCCAATAATCTAGTAATATGCTAGTAATATGTAATATGCATGCTAATAGGCAAACAGTATATAGTGAATATGTGTTCACTAATTTAAAGTGTAATCATATACAGTATATGTGACCCTGGAGCACAAAAGCAGTCTTAAGTCGCTGGGGTATATTTGTAGCAATAGCCAAAAATACATTGTATGGGTCAAAATTATCGATTTTTCTTTTATGCCAAAAATCATTAGAATATTAAGTAAAGATCATGTTCCATGAAGATATTTTGTAAATTTCCTACCATAAATAAATCAAAACTTAATTTTTATTAGTAATATGCATTGCTAAGAACTTCATTTGAACAACTTTAAAGATGATTTTCTCAATATTTAGACAAAAATGGACCCTTATGATTGGTTTTGTGGTCCATGGTCACATATGTGTGTGTCCGATTATAATTATTATTTTGTTCATTGTATTTTATTATTTATTCATCCTTTTATTTAATTTTGTTTATTTATTTGCTTTAAATAGCCTTTTGTGAACTCTATTTACAAATATAGAGATATATTATGCAAAAAAAATAATAATAACAACAAGTTAAATTTTTAATTACATCAAATTGTTCTATACATTCTTGCTACAGTAAGTCTGACTAATGCATGTTCTGCCACTGTCATTGAGTGAATTACCACAGGAATTATTAAATAGTCATTCTGGATCAACTGTGCATTTATATCTACTAAATATACTTTCTTATATATATAAGTTTACTAATAGTACTTGCATGTAGTGTATGCAACAGAAGTGCTGAAAATATGCAGAAAACATGTGTTGCACATATGTTAAACTGAGTTCAGTGACACTTGGCCTGAATTATAGGGTCCAGTCCAACAAAATTGGTCTCAGATACTTTCCTTTCAAAACAAACAGTCTTCAGCCAAGGATATGGCTCAGAAAGCGGCCGCTATGTTAATTTGAGCCAGAATACCAGAGTCTTGTGATATCCAGAATCAACAGATGATTTGTGCCAGTTGATATTTGTGTGTGTGTGTGTGTGTGTGTGTGTGTGTTTTCCAGTGACCTGCTGTCCTCAGACTATGTGGAGATATACTATGAGAATGGGAAGCCCATCCTTTGGAAGGTATGAACCAAAAACATTCATTTTTTTGTCTTTTCACACTGTACTGTGTGTACTTTTTAGAGAATAGGTAGTCATATGTTTTAATCATTGCATTAATAATAACTACAGTATAATTTCACTTGAAAACTTTGAAAACTGCTGTACAGTACCTCACACACCAAGATTGTTATTATAATTGAGGAACCAAAACAGTACAGTTGCTTTCATACTTATTATACTGTGTAAATTATGGTAGAGTCAGTTTGTTTGTTTTTTCAGTTTGCCTTGCAATAAATTCGTTTTTATCCTTCCTGTTAATGATATCCATAATAAATCTCTGGGACACAAATGGAAAATGGTTTTCTGAGTATGCATCAGAAGTATAAACTCATAATTACACTATAGTCGGGTAAGATGTCAGTCTAAATTCATGGGTACACTGTAAAAAATGACCGTGAATTTAACGGTAAAAGACTGTAAAAATGCTACAGTAAAAACCTGTTAAATGGTTAACGGTAAATTCCCCTACTATATACGGTGATAATTTTACGGTAGTATACCGTTTGGAAGTGAAAAAAGAGCGTATAATTTACAGTTAGTAACCGTAAATGGACTTTCCCAGAATTCCCTGCATTACATTTCAAATTTGATGTTTTTTTGTTGAAATAACTATGTTTCTTCTTAGTTTTTTTCTTATCAGTTTTGTATATTAGGGTTGTATGTTACACCTAATGTTGTTAAATGAATGTTTATTGCATTATTTCAGTTTCATGTGTGTTACCGTGATGGTGTTTAGTGTTTGTGTGAATGACACTGTGCACCTTCTATATATTATTATTTAAAAGCTGCTTGTGATGGGCTTTGGTTCGTCATGTGACTTTCTCATCACCACCTGCATTTGGTGGTTATCAGTGTATTACAAAGGTACAAAACAGATTTCAGTACTTCATTGGGTTAGTATAGTAACATTATATCAGTTAATGGAATTACGGTATTTAGCTGTAAATTTAAGTTAAAACCTAAAATGTTGCTACCGTATTTTTTTTACATTTAAAAATAAAACAAAGACTAGGAGTACAAGAAAACAGTCAAATGTGTTTATGTTACCAGTAAGTAATTATCTCCTCTAACTCAGTGTCGTGTTTTGGTTGAATATAATTTAATTGGAAGCTATCATATCTCAATAAGCTGAACCATTTGTTTTTCGAGTGTAACCGCCTGCAGTGTTATGTGACGGTAGAGATCAGATGTCTCTGGAAGATGACAGATGTAACATGAGGATTATGAGAGAGAGGGAGAGACAGAGAAAAGAGCATGAACAAAGGGGAGAGAGAGAGATGCTGATAGGTGTTAAATCAGGAAGCATCTGTGACTTCACTGCTGAATCAGCGCGTCTCGGTTCACCTGCAGATCAGCTCACATGACCAGCAGATGTTACTCTGCTGCAGCAATGCAGAGAGAGCCTGACACTCCACGCCGAATCTCTTTATTACATATAGTATAGAATCATTAGATGCTGGCATTCATGCATTTATATGGCAAAACGTCCACTATACAGTCAGTTTAAAACATCACTGGTTCTGCACTGTACATCTGTTGTGGCAACAAATGCATTATGGGGAACAGGACAAAACTGAACGCGTGTGTGTGTGTGTGTGTGTGTGTGTGTGTTGTCAGGGTGGAGAGCACTGTTATTACCACGGCCAGATCAGAGGGAATGACAACTCTCGTGCCGCTCTGTCCACTTGTAATGGTTTACAGTGAGTACAGGAGTGAATCCATCCACTTAATGCCTCAATGCTTTCTCTACTATATACTGACTTATTCAGCTGTCTGTATTTTTTCTCATTTGTAAGTTGCTTTGGATAAAAGCAGCTAAATTGATAAATGTGCCTGTTTGTCTCTCTCTGGTTTTCAGTGGCATGTTTGATGATGGAGTCCATGTGTACACAATTGAGCCCCTTAAACAGAATCACTCTATGGTAAGTGTTAATTTCATACACACTTTACTTTAACCAGCTCCAAAGTCTAACTCTAAAAACATTTCTGTACAAATTATGAAACTTAAGCACATTGATGACTGAACATCTAATTATTTTACTATTATTTTTAAGTGAATCGTACAGATTTAACAAAATTCTTATAGATTTTACCTGAAATGTGTGAGATATACATAAATAGTAATAAGTGATAGATAGTAAATTCAGAGTACAGTTAGACATCTTTAAGGCTTACGATATTTGGATAAATTGATACTTTAATTTAATAAGTACACATTAAATTGATCAAAAATGAGAGTGAAGACATTTATTGTTACAATACATAAAAAAAAAGATCTTAATCAAACTTTCCATTCTTCAGAGAATAATCTAAAAGAATAATTCAATAATCTTTCACAATATTATTGTTTTTCTGTATTTTTGATAATAAAAATGCAGTCTCTCTGAACATAATGGTAGTGTATGTTTGGGAAATCTCATGAGAATGTTGAATATGTGCTTATGTCCTATAAGTGTACACAAAAAGCACAATTTTCCATGACTTTACTGGCTTGCATTAAAGGTATAGTTCACCCAAAAATGAAAATTATTTCATTAATAATTCACCCTCATGTCGTTCCAAACTCGTAAAACCTTCGTTCATCTTCAGAACACAAATTAAGATATTTTTTATGAAATCCAAGAGCTTTCTGCCCCTGCATAGACAGCAATACCACTACCACATTCAAGACCCAGAAAGGTAGTAACGGCATTGTTGAACATTTCAGTTGTATTGCGGTCCGTGCAGGGTCAGAGAGCTCTCGGATTTCATCAAAAATATCTTAATTTGTGTTCCGAAGTTGAAAGAAGGTCTTATGGGTTTGGAACGACCTATGGGTGAGTAATTAGTGACAGCCTGCAGTGAGAATATGAGATATACGAGAGAACATATACAAATCTGCTGTTTTGTGAATGGCTCTGCTAATGATACTAGCTCTAGTGTAGCCATTTCCTCTGCACATTAACTGCAACTGTAAACACTTTAATGAACTCCATTCACTCTCTCCCTACGCACACTGGCTTTACACACTCTCAACTTTAATTTTAAAAACAAACCCTCTTCTTAAAAAAACCCCAGTCAAAAACCAAACGGCACAATTCATTATAAACACTAATCAAAAGCACGAGGCCTTTTAAAGCGCCATAGCATGTGTGCATATAATTTGACATGCTCAGCTGAAGTCACTTTGGATGAACTTGGTAAGATCTGGCAGCTCATGCTCTGTGTTTTTCATTAGGAGGGAACAGCGAGACCACATGTGTTACGCAGGACGACTATCCTGCAGCAAACCCCATCTGCAGGAGAGGAAGGTACTTACAGCACAGCTCTCACTCACCTCCATCAACATCAGATAAAGGAAGAGTTCTCACAAAAATGAAAATACTAGCATCCTTGTGTAAAAGAAGTACACTTAATTGTATATGCACTTGTAGTGTACTTCGAATCTTAAAATTATATTATTAAAATCTGTACTTGTAGATAATATTATAATAATGAAATAAAAGGCCACTTAAGTGCATTTAAAGAGAGACATGGCTGCTTTTAAACACACTTAAAGGGTTTGTTCACCCAAAAATGAAATTAGGCTGCATTTTACTCACCCCCGAGGCATCCTAGGTGTATATGACTTTCTTCTTTCAGACGAATCCAGTCGGAGTTATATAAAAAATGGTCTTTGATCTTTCAAGCTGTTTAATGGCACTCAGCGGGTGGTGCATTGCTTCAGTCCAAAAGAAGTTAAATAAAATGCGCAGCACTGACTTCATACGTCATGCTCCCGGAACTGCTTCTGTGTACAACAGTGAGCGCAAGCTAGATTAAAGTGATTACTACGTTTTGAATATGGATATCTTTCTTACAAAAACGCATTGATTTGCTACAGAAGGCCTTTGTTCACCCACCGGTGCCGTATGAGACACTTTTTTTTATGGATGGGCGATTTTTATTTAACTTCTTTTGGACTGAAGCAATGCAACACCTGCTGGCTGCAATGAAACAGCTTGAAAGATCAAAGACCATTTTTTATATAACTCCGACTGGATTCGTCTGAAAGAAGTCATATACACCTAGGATGCCTCGGGGGTGAGTAAAACGCAGCCTAATTAAACTTTTTGGGTGAACTAACCCTTCAAGTACACTTTTTTTTTTAATTGCACTTTGTAATAATAAACTTTGTAATAATAATTTACATTTAGTCATTTAGCAGACGCTTTTATCCAAAGCGACTTACAAGTTAATAATATCAAAAAAGTTCTTTTTAAAGTACTTTTTAAATCAGTGCTTTGCCGTGTTTTAAAGAAGTACACTTCATTTTTAATTAAAGTACATTTTAATTGCAGTGTGATATTCAATATTACATTTAAAGTTATATATTTTAAATGTATTCAACTGCAACTTCATCACTACAAATGTGTAATTACAGTACAAATATATTTAAATACATGACATACAAGTTTCAGTAGAAATATTGTCAGTACATTCAGAAATACATTTTAACCATATTTCAATAGAAGTAATTGTGAAATTTTATAGATGTATATCTATATATTAAGTGTCTCAAAACAAGAACGCCTAAATTCAACTAATTACATTTAATATAAATTTAAACTAGAATGCATTTTAATTTAATTGCTATTAAAATGCAATTATGTGTCCAAAAACATTACATTTGAAGTATTATTTTAAAGTATGCCAAAGTGTACTTCTTTTCACAAGGGGTTTAAGGTATGACTTTATTCTTCTGTAGAACACAAAATCAGATGTTTTAAAGAGCGTTCTTGCTGCTCTTTAAAAAAACTGCACCAATTAACACTGCTATTAACATAGCTCATATGATTTGTGTACTTTTTTTGTATATTTCTATAGCTTTTTATGAGAGACAAACTACAATTAACATCATTATTCACATCAAAATAATACAGTACAAAATAGTAGTGTTCTATATAGTACTGTCATTTTGGGGTGAAGTTTTTCTTTAAAAATTCATTCAAGTATATTTCAACAAATGTCTGTATGAGTCTGCTGGCTGCTTTGTAGTAGACAGAAAAAAGAAGAGCATTTAAAAGTCTCTACTGCCACGACTACAAACTTAAAGAAAAAAATCAGTGAGTAGTACGAGGCACTTTGAGAGTCCTTTACCAACGTAAAAGATTTCACAGCACATAACTTTTAGCTGAGATCATTATACTGCAGGAGCACTGGATGCCCTTTTTTAGGCAGTAAAATTATCTGGATGTTGTTTGGAGAATAGAGAATATGCTAATTTTTTCACTGAATACAATGATGCACTTTTGTTAGAGATTAGAATTCTCTTTGGGGAGGGACTCTAAGAACTTGAATCCCTGAAGAGCCCAACAAAAAGCATAGGAAAAGCTGACAAACAAACACTTGTTTGTGTGTGCGCAGGCATGGAGGAGGAGTTGTCTTGGCTTCGACGGAGGAAAAAGCGAGCTGTAAGGGTTTGAGTGGGACGCAGATGATGCTGGATACAGGCCACAGAGTGATCCACTGCAGAGCAGAGCAAGAACACTGCCAATGACACTCTATGCAAACCAGCACACATCCCATAATATCAGACAGATTGACTCAGACTTGTGCAATAGCAGCAGCAATAGTACTGGCACTTTTACTACACAAAGGTTGCATCCCAATTTGCATACGATCTATACTAGACTGTATTAATATATTCTACATTTTAGTAAATTAAAAACAGCATGAATGGATTTCAGAAATATGCATCCGTTCATGCTTTTTGGGTTAATGTTGCACACAAGCCGTGGCATTGCTGAGGAGGAGGAGTTTGTGACTCAACTTTTCAGTGTTAGAAAAATGCAGACAAAAGGTCTAAGCTGCCAGAGTACTTTTAAACGCATGAACGTAAAACATCAAGTAATTATGAATGAATTAGGTCATTTGTTAAATTCGTTAATTATTTGATTTAGTTTTATGAACTAGTAATATTTACTAATAATGGCGTGCAAAAGGTTTGGATTCACAGACATTTTTACGATTTTGAAAAAAGTGATGCTTCTGTTTATCAATGAAGCTATTATGGATCAATCAATCAGTTTTATTTGTCATGGCAAAACCCCATTTTGAAAAAAATAAATTCATATTTGTAGTCAGAAAGGACGCATTAAGTTGATCAAAAGACACAGTAAAGACATTATAATTTTACAGTACAAAAAATGTTTTATTTCAAATAAGCAAACTTCCTATGCATCACAGAATCCTGAAATTGTGTCACAGTTTCCAGAAAAAAATATTAAACAGCACAACTGTTTGATAATAATAAGTATTTCAAATCAACATATTAGAATAATTTCTGAAGGATCATGTGACACTAAAAACTGGAATAAATTACATTTTAAAATATATTCAAAAACAAACAGTTATTTAAAATTGTAATAATATTTCATAGTATTACTGTTTTGCAATATTTTTTATGAAATAAATGTAGCCTTGGTGAACATAAGAAACTTTCCAAAATATAAAAAAAATCTTGCTGGCCACAAACTTTTGAACGGTAGTTTCTGCGCTGTGCTTGCAGTGTGCAGGAAGCAGCCAGTCTTGAGGCCATTAGTTAAATTAAAGCTCATAAATTAAATAAGTATGTTGTAGAAGTATGCCAACTGGGATCCAGCCAAGAACTTTGATCCAGAACAATGCACATTCTTTCATCTCATGAAAGTAACAGCAGCCCATTATGAGGGTTTGTGATGTCTGAAAGTGCTTAGGACACTTTTATCTGTTTGTGAGGAGCATTCATGCAGCATCTGTAAGATGGGGAATAAGCGGAGCCATGTTTTTTTGCTGTGTTGTCCTGTTTCTCTTCCAGATGCCGAGGAACGTGTTTGAGGAGATGAAGTACATTGAATTGATGATCGTCATTGACCACAGCATGGTGTGTTTAAATGCTATTTTTCAGTAATAGCACTGTATGTGAAAGTATCATTGGCCTTTCTGTGAAAAACAAGTACACTTTAGCATACTTTTAAAAAGACTTATAATGAAAATAATATACTAAATTAGGATTCACTTGCAAGTGCAATATAATGTTTTCAGACACTTCATTGCATGATAATTGCTATTTTTTGACACACTTCAGTATGACTTAAGTACATCTTTATATATAATTCCATCATTTTATTGCTTTTGAAATATGGTTAAACTACAGCCAAATGTACTGACAAGCATTTACGATAAACTAAAATATACTTCAATACCATTTCTTTTGTACGGAGACCTGCACATGGCATGCAGGAAAAAAATAGTGTTTAAGTGTGCTACGTTTGATCTTTTGATTTAATGTTTTTATAATTTTAACGATGTGAATATTCTCCCACAGTTTAAGAGAGTGAGGACCAAGCAACAAACACGCAACCATGCCAAATCCGTGGTCAACCTGGTGGATGCTGTGAGTTTCAGTGTTATTAAAACAACCTTACTGATCAGTTTACAGTGAACAGTTTGTGTTAATAATTCATTTAACAATATAGAGCTGGGTTTCAGGAACCTCCAGTGGTTTGTGGACCTTTTAAAAAAAATAAATAAATAAAAAATTTAAGAGAGAGATTGTGATAGAAATGTCCATTTCAATTTAGATTAAACACAAAAGTAGGCTATGGATAAAATACAATTATATTGTATACAATTGTAACAATTAGTGTGTGTGTGTATATATACACACACACACAGTATATACACACACATATACATATTGTCACGGGGTGAAGAATCACACGACAAGGATGGCTCAAATGCCCCGGAGGGTGGATTTATTTACAAGAGTGTGTGCTAAAGAGAAAGGTCCAGGTGGGTGCTCCGGTGCAGTGAGTGCTCTCTTCCTTCTTCCCAGTGCAGTGGGTCCGTGCTGTGCTCCTGTGGGGCTGGTCAGTCACACGTTGCTGTCTGTGGGAGAAATGAGAGGGCGAGTTAATGCTCAGTCTCATGGAGAAGTGTCTCAAAGGTGGCAGGGCTTGCGTGGCTTATGTAGCCGCCGCCTGATGAGCTGCAGCTGTGACCGATCAGCCTGTGACGAGGACGGGCAGGTGTTCCTCGCTTGTTTCCAGGACGATGCTGATGAAGCTTCGGGACGCTCGTCACAATATATATATATATATATATATATATGAAGAGTTCAGATGCAAAAGCCTCTAAGTGCAATTTGAAATTTTCTTCTAAAATGAGCACTTTTATTAAGCTCCTATGTGTAGGTCCAGTAATTTCACTTTAATAGCAATGAATAGGTTATTTTTATTGCCATTAAAGTGAAATAGTGAAACAACTAAACAGCCTGAGAAAATGCTAATTTTAGGAGAGGAGCAGCCTAGCGTATTTTGGAGGGGTGTGTTCTGTCAGTCATGGGGTTGGTATCATTGAGGTGAGTGAATTACATGGACACTGACTGACAGCAAACGTCCAACTCCTCAAAAAGATATCGAAAGGACATTTTCTATATAGGAGTGAACACTACAGCTTATTTTACACAGTCACCTTACTCTCGGTGAACCAAAGTCACATAAAATGTCTTCAAAAATTACATTAATATTCAAACGTTTGCGGTAGGTACGATTTTTTAAAAATGTTATTGAATCTCTCATGCTCACCAAGACTGAATGAACTTTTTATAGAACAGTATAGAACTTTTATTATTATTAATATTGAAAACAGTTGTGCTGCTTCATTTTTTGTGGAAATCATGATACTTATTTTCAGAATTATATGCTGAATAGAAAATTCAAAAGAACAGTATTTATATCAAATATAAATCTGTTTGACAAAATTATAAATGTCTTACTGTCACTTTTGGTCATTTTAAAATGTCATTGCTGAATAAAAGTATTGATTTTATTCAACAAAAGTAAAGACAATCTTACTGACCCTAAACTATTTAATAGTGCATTAAATTATTGAATGTAAGGCTATAATGACAATTTTCAACTTTTTACGATTGCATTTAATCATCCGAATGTACATTATGAAAATGATGACTCAAATCACATCATATACTGTATATCCTTGAAATCTATATCGTGAACTCCTGGCTGGGCTGTATCATGGAGGACACTGGGTAAGATGATCTACACATACATTTAGTGATATATAGGGATTGACAATGACAAGTCTATATAACGTATACTATCATTATGACTCCTGTATGTATGTGTGTTTGTGTGTGTGTGTGTGCGTGCGTGCGTTCAGTTTTGACATTATTACGTGGCCACCTATAAACATCATCACTTACTACACACAAACAACAGCATCAAAACACACAATAGAATTTAAGAATTAATTAACATCAGCGCACTTGCCGATACACACTGTGTGTTTTATAGATTGTGTGCATGTGTGTGATATCAAATTATCATCGTATGCACACAGTGTAGTTATTTCTTATTAATATAGTGAGAATTTTAAATATTATGCATTTCAGTGGGTCTGTCAGTGGAATAGAGAAAATAGACAGAAATAGAGACAAACATTGAAAGTGTGAACTTTGGCTTCTTTACATCAGCTGTGAAAACTGTGTCCCTGCATTTGTCTCTCTTCTCAGGGTCCAGCACTCGCGGACTTTCTCTAAGTGCAGTATCACCGATTTTAAAGAGTTCCTGTTGAAGGGAGGAGGATCCTGTCTCTTTAACAAACCCAGCAAGGTCAGACATCACCATTAGCATCACCTTCATCAGTATTCATTCAAGATTCAGAATGAGAAAGTACAAGGTTTTCTTATAATCAAAGCTTGCCAAGTCTCTTCCTCTCTCCAAAAATGTGTTTCTTCCATAGATGAACTGTCTGTATCCAATATTTTGCCCTTGAGGAAAAGAAATACACTTCATTAAAAAAAAAAAAAAAAGAGTACATACTTAAAAAAAAAATCACTATGCAAATAATATACTTTAAAAGAACATACTTGAGTGCAAATGGAATATAATGAATGTAATGTTTCAGACACTTGAATGAAAATGAAAATATATTATAGCCGAAATTGATTTTAAATGCAATTATTTGAATTTTAGTGTTTTTAACCCACTTAAGTAGGATGTACATCTTTATATGTAATTTCATAATTACTTCTGTCTTTGAAATAAGTCTGCATATGTAATTTCATATTTACTTCTATTGTCTTTGAAATAAGTGCACTGCATAATGCACTGACAATCATATACTGTATGAAAAACTAAAATATAATGTCATTTCTATTGAAACTTGTCATGTTTTTAAATATATTTGTAATTACACATTTGTAATGATGAAGCTGCAATTAAGTACATTTAAAATGTAATATTGAATAATACAGTTAAAATTATAATCCAGTACTTTAAACGTGCTTTATTATGTTAGTCAGCACATCAAAATAAGTTTGCTTAACATGCAAATGACAATAGATTGTTACAACATATTGATTTAAAATGTACTAGTTTAACAAAGTGTACTTAAGTGTTTTCAGTCATGAAAGTGTCTCTCTTTAAGTACACTTAAGTCACGTTTTATTTCATTAATATTATTTGATATATATATATATATATATATATATATATATATATATATATATATATAAAATATAATGTGCATTTCTTTTTCACAAGAGTGGACATGCTTGTTACTCTTAGTTGTTTTAAACTGTAATATTGGCTCAATCCGGTTATGGCAATCAGGTTAATGTGTCTACATGCCTAATCCAAATATGACCTAAACCGAATATGAATTATATTCATATAATTCTTTTTTTTTTAAACCATATCTATTTCACGAAATCATATTTAGTTAATAGATAATGCCTTTATGTGACTCTTAGCCTTTAGCTGTACCTGAGTATATCTGCTGAAAGTTCATATCACATCTGTTTGCAAATCTCTTCATCAAGACTGTGATGCCTGTTTTTGCATGTGTGTCCTGCAGCTGTTTGAAGACACCGAGTGTGGAAATGGATATGTGGAAGTGGGAGAGGAGTGTGACTGTGGACCAAGAGAAGTGAGTTCATGTGATACACTAGACAGCACTCAAATAACCTCTGTGTTTAACACATCAATATTAAACACGGCTACAGTATTCAGCTGTGTGTGTGTGTGTGTTATAGGAGTGCATTAAAGAGTGCTGTAAGAAGTGTTCTCTGTCTAATGGTGCGCACTGCAGCGACGGACCCTGCTGCAATAACACATGTCTGGTGAGAGAATACATGTCTGATAATGTATTTTTTAATATGTTTGTTGTAGTGCTGTCAAAAAATTAATCGCATCCAAAATAAAAGTTTTTGTTTACATAATATATGTGTGTACACACACATGCATGTATATATGTAAGAGCAATATGTCATGTTTATTTATTAAATATATTTATATATATATATATATATAATATAAATATATGCATGTAAATACATGTAAATATTTTCAAAATATGTACTGCATGTGTGTTTTTATATATGCATAATAAATATACACAGTACACACACATATATATTATGTAAACAAAAACTTTTATTTTGGATGCGATTCATTTCAAAAATCAAAAGGTGAATGTGAGAGCTGTCTCTCTCTTTCTCTCTCTGTCTCAGTTCTATCCTCGAGGTTACTCGTGCCGCTATGCAGTAAATGACTGTGACATTTCAGAGATGTGCTCAGGAGACTCAGGGCTGGTCAGTGACATACAGTATTAGCACTACTTTAAACACATATAATGGTCTGATTATCCATGTTTTTATTTAATCTATCTTTATGTGTGTGTGTGTGTGTGTGTGTGTGTGCAGTGCCCTCCCAATCTACACAAGCAGGACGGTTACTTCTGCTCCCTCAACCAGGTACACACACATAAAAACATAACCGCTACAGTGCCAGTTTACTCTGAAAAATGCCATATTTAATGCATATCTACAAGCTATCAATTCATTATTCATAAACTGATTATAATAGAAGCTATTAAAACTGCTAGTCTACTGAAACATGATGATGATGATATTATTTATTAGTAATAAGGGTTTTTGTAAATGGCCAATGACAGAACAGTATCTACAGCAGAAAGCAGGGTGAGTGATGGCCAGTCCTCTCAAGATCTTAAAGCCTTTCTGATGTAAACGCTTATGCTTGAATGCTAGAAATTAGTTTTGTAGCCAAATGTGACTACATAAATCAAAATTTTGGTAAAAAAATAGCATTTTTAAAGATATTACATGATGAGTTTTTATACAGGGTTATTTATTTATTTGTTTGTTTGGTCAATACATAATTCACCTGCTTCCATTTGTGTAATTTAATTGCTTTGATGACTTATTCTACTATTACTCTATTGGAAATAATAATGGCAGAAATGTAATAAATCGATGAAAAAGTAAATGAATAAAATTTTAATGCATTTATGAGTAGTAAAAAAAAACTAGTAGCAAGTTGTGTTCATTTACTGTATACAATTGATAATTAGACTAAATACGTTCTCAGAAAATTACATTAGCCCTTAATAGTTAGCATATTTTGGTCAAGCAGGCTCTGTTATTAATATTGATAATCTTAAAAGGCCAGTAATTGGCTGATTAATTTGCCTGATTGATCTCTCAATATCTTTTTCACTATTAATTAGTGAGATTGTGTTGTCTTTTCAGGGTCGCTGCTATGCTGGAGAGTGCAAGACGAGAGACAGTCAGTGTAAATATGTCTGGGGACCAAGTGAGTGACCATTTCCTGTCATCATTAACAGCCAATCAGCAGTATGCTCCGCTATCAACTGCATATACACTTTATTTTGCACCACAGACGTGAAGTATTTTCTATAGAGACCCTAAGGGAAAAAGTGATGGCAAAAAAAATAGAAGGAAAAAATATTTCCTCTTCAGGAACTCGAGCTGCATCGGAGAATGCTTTGGGAACGGCTTCTGTGACCACGCTCTGAATCACATGTGAAATCAGTCCAATAGCTGGGCGAGACATCACGGGCGGGTGACGTCATGACCAGGAAGCTATAAAAGCACGGGCATCAGCTTTCTGTCATTCAGCGAATCGCTCTGTGTGTGTCAGTCATATTTATTGTTGTCTGTCAATTGTGAAAGTTCATAAGCTCCAGCTATGTCTAAAGCTCACGCTAAGACAAAGCATTCTAAGGGCGAGAGCAAGCCACGTTATAGGTTGTGTGTTCCTCCCTGCCCATGTTACATCACGGGTGGGGATACACACAGCCTGTGCGTGGTTTGCTTGGGAGCATACGCTTCGATCCCGGAGGGATCTCTTTGAGGAGGGAACCTTTGCCAGCGTTCCTCGCAGAGCTGGCCTCGCTTCCGTCGAGGCGGCTGCATTCGTGGGGTTCGCAATTGGATCTGGCGGAGGGAATGGAGATGGGCGAGTCCCTATCTCCTTCCTCACCCGCCAGATCCAGCGCCCGATCTCTGGGTTCGGAAGCCCATTCTGCGGCTACTTCCTCCCCGAGGTGAGGGCTCGACGCTCCACCTGTCTTCCTCCGAGGAGGTTGACGTGGAGGGCGTCAAAGAGGTTTCGCCCCCTCAATCGCCCCAATATGATGAGCTAGTGGAGGTGATTACTCGCGCCGTGGCCAAATTAAAGATCGATTGGCCCGCCGAGAAGCAGGCCGAGCCGCAGCGAAGCAAGTTAGATGAATGCTTCCTGCGCGCGAGGCCACCACCTCCATGCCTGCCATTTTTCCCCGACCTTTACACTGAGGTGTCGAGGTCGTGGGCCAGGCCTTTTTCGGCCCGTCTCTTCATCCCTGCCTCAGATTATTATGGGAATGTGGCGGGGTTGACTGAGCGTGGCTATAGGGTGATGCCCCGGGTTGAACAGACGCTAGCTAGCTATCTGTCCCCAGGCATGGCATCATCCTTAAAGGCTCCGGCACTGCCCTCCAAGCCGCTGCGTGCAACATCAGCGCTGGTGGGTAAGGGGTATGCGGCAGCAGGTCAGAGCTTAACTCTGACAACATCGCGGCGTTAAAAAGAACCGCTGATCTCTCTCAGGGTCTCTCAAGACAGGGTCTTCCTCCTCGACGCCCCGCTTGCGCCTTCTTGCCTGTTCGGCGACGCCATCAATTCCATTGTCGACAGGGACCAGGAGGCTCGTAAACAGGCGGCGGCGTTTCAGCGGTTCCTCCCTTGCTGCATCTCAGCTCTGGGGGCTGCTGGGTGGGAGCAGTCCCCACCGCGTACCAGCTCCTCATATAGAGAGACTCAAAAACAGTCCCCCGCGTCGGGACCGGAGGCAGAAGCAATGCTCTGGGTCGGGGGCTTCAAAGCCTAAGCTGGATCTGCGGACCTTCCTTCAGGCTAAGAGGTCCTCGACCAAACAGTCCTGACTATTTGGGTGCAGGACTAGCGAGGGCAGGCCCTTCTGGGGAAGAGGGGTTCACACCGCATTATATACTGTGCCCGTCTCCCCCCAGTGCCCTCGGGAGATTGTTCTGCCAACCCTGCCGGTGTTCCAGGGCGCAGCGGGCCTCCTCTCGCCTCCAGCGAGCGTTTCTTTCAGTTACCGCCCGGCAATGTAGCGGCACTGAGAGGCTCGCAGCCTCTGCGGAGGCCCCCAGAGCAGCCGTTCTGGGCACACCAGAGATCAGTCTCGAGATACTGATTCCCTTAGTAGATTATTTAGCAGCGTGGAAGCTACTGCCAAATGTGTCTCAATGGGTCCTGCGTACTGTAGAAAGAGGCTACAGAATCCAGTTCGGTTCTCGTCCGCCTCAATTCAACTGGGTCACCCCGACTCTAGTGGGTCCCGAGCAGGCTCTGGTATTAGAACAAGAAGTAGTTACTCTCTTAAAGAAGGAGGCCATCGAGGTGGTCCCTCCGCATGAGACAGACTCCAGGTTCTACAGCTGGTACTTCATTGTTTCGAAGAAGGATGGGGGGGTTGCGTCCTATTTTAGATCTGCGCCTATTGAACCGCTCAGTCATGTGACTGAAGTTCAGAATGCTCACACTCAAACAAGTCGTGTCTCAGATCAGGTCCGAGGACTGGTTTGTCACGATTGATCTAAAAGACGCATACTTCCATATCTCATCCTTCCTCATCACAGGTAGTTCCTGAGGTTCATTTTTGGGGGCAAAGCTTACAAATATTGTGTTCTTCCTTTAGGCCTTGCACTCTCACCCCGCACTTTTACGAAGTGTGTGAATGCTGCTCTGGCTCTGTTGCGACTCCAGGGCATACTCAACCATATCGACGATTGGTTGATTTTAGCTTATTCAGAGCAGGTAGGGGTTCGACATCGAGATGTCGTTCTCACTCACATGAGAGAGTTGGGGTTAAGACTAAATGCCAAGAAGAGTGTGTTTTCCCCATTACAGAGGACCACCTATCTGGGCGTGGTGTGGGATTTAACCCCGATGCAGGCACGTTTGTCCCCTGCTCGGATCGAGTCGATCCTCACTGCAGTCAAGAGAGTGAAAGAAGGCCAGCCACTCACTGTCAAGCAGTTTCAAAGACTGCTGGGTCTGATGGCAGCTGCGTCCAACGTGATTACTCTTGGCTTGCTGTACATGAGACCCCTACAGTGGTGGCTCAAGACCAGGGGGTTCTCCCCGAGGGGAAACCCGCTTCACATGTTCAAGGTCACACGGAGATGCCTACGTGCCTTAGACATATGGAGGAAACCTTGGTTTTTGTCTCATGGTCCGGTGCTGGGAGCTCCTTGTCGCCGCGTGACGCTAGCGACGGACGCATCCCTCACCGGTTGGGGTGCGGTCATGAGTGGCCACCCTGTCTGTGGAGTGGTTGCCATATGACGTGGTATATCAATTGTCTGGAGATGCTGGCCGTATTTCAGGCATTGAAACA